GAGAGAGAGAGGATGGTATAACATTTTATTAAAAATAATGGTAATCATTGTTACGCTATGTGAAGGTGCAACTTTCCATTTTATAATGGGGTGCAACTATTCATAAAACCATGTGACAACTTTATAATGTAGAGATAGCTTTTTCTCCGTGTGAGATATGTCTATGTCTAGATATGTACCGAGGACCCGGTAGCCTACAGTAATGTTGATATTACAAGTTCCTTTGTACGTTCTGTACACCAATATGCCTATAATAAGTATATTATTGTTATGTTGGGTCGACCAGCGGCTTATTATAGGCCCACTTATTAAATTTATGAGTCTTGGCATACACACTTCACGTCTACAGAAGGTTAAAAATCAAAGATAACGATAAATAAAGTGCACATGGAACACCCTATCAACAGTGTGGTAGGCACTTAGACCTAGAGCTAAAAAACAAACAAAGGAAGAACAAGAAAAAGAAGATAAGTAAGGTCTTTTAGGAATCGAGGGCGTCATGGTGCCGTCGAAACTCGAAACATCGCTCTAAAAGTGGGTAGTAAACTGGCTGCTTACCACTTTATATTATATAGGACCTACATAATAATAATATTATTATATCTCTATTATTGTAGGCAGGTAAGGAGACAAGTGAATAGGTGGGTGGATGAGTGGACGAAATGCTGAATGCGTCTTCACATGCAAGACACCAATCATATAATGTTCTGTTACTTATATTTACCATAATATGGATAATAGTCTAGTCTTCATGTATGTGGCACGGTGCCTTTCTAGTTTCTTGATAAGCGCAATAATGCCACTGGCTATCTGAGTAAGCGTGTGAAGTTTAGCACGCTGGCATTCAGAACGTGGTCCCAAAGTTGTTATATAAGGGTTATAAAGACTTCAATGTCTCATGAAGTGACTATTATCTGATACTTTCTAACCACATGATAATGGAATGACGCTGAGGCACTGTAGAGAACTTAACAGATGGCAATTCATATCTTCGGTAAGACAAGATAAGTCGCGTTTGAGAAAGGAGGTCGTGTGATATTTAAAGGCTTGTATCATGTGTGCCTCTTTCTTTATCTGCGTTTAGCATCGAACGCACCATGGATGTTTAAGAGTAGAACTGTTAGTTTTAAGTTTAGTGAGAATATTCTCGAGGATTTGTACACGTAGAAATTTTGTTCTGTCTCCTTTTCGGGGGATAATTATTTAACTTTTTTAATTGCCGCAAGAGTTGTTTACCTTTCAATGGCAAAGGTGGCGCTATTGTTTACAATGGCTGAATGAGGAGGAATCTCAATTTTTCTTACGGCACAAGATGCTAAGTTTTGTTTCTTTTATTTGTTGTATTTACGTGACATGACCTTTGTTTGTGATGAATATGGAACAAACAAACGTGAGCACATCACGTTTGAACGAAGAATGCAACCCAGAAAGCCCACCATCCGAGAGAAACAGTGTCAATATTGATGCAAGTGATGGCGATGTTTCTGCTGCTACTGCTACCAGCACAGCCGTTCATGAGGACGAGATATCATCCACGAATGCAAAGGGTTTGGTCAGTGAGGGTACTCCTATGCCTGTAGTTCAAAGCTCTTTGAATGAAATTTCGTCTTCTGAGAAAACAAAAACAACCGGTGACCTCGACACTGCTGATCAAAACAAAAGGGGAGGGAGTCCAGAAACTACCATTCCTTTCTATGTGGGTAATGGACCCGTGTTTCCTGCAAGGCACAACAGAGAATTACAACCTGTCTCATCAAATACTAGTGCAGATTCTGGTTCGCACCCTGAATCAAGTGAAACTGATGTACATGATATTGACAATGCTACAAGGAAAGTATTGTTGTCTTATATTGACACAGCAGAAGAAGGAATTAACATGAAGAAAGAAAATTCTAATGAAACTCGGGCTGAACCCTCATCTCAATCTCAAGACCCTGTTGTTGAGAATAATGTCAATAATGACACTGCAACAGATTGTGAAACAAAAGAAGGACCTTCTGCTTCCAATACAGAAACAGAAAATGAATCTCTTGCCCCTCTTAGTGCTTCGTTCTTCAATTGTCAGTATCAAACCCCAAGCTGGATTGACGACCCTCTCATTGGAGTTCCTCCCTGTGCTATGGAAAATAAGAACACCCACAGAAAAACTGGTGCTGATATGCGGATTTTAACAGCATACATGAGGTCACTAAATGAAATGCGACTGCCAGAAGCTATACCACCTTCAGAATTAGACAAATATTTATCATCATTCTTCCTGGTAGTGAGAAAAGCAGATGGAAGTGAGTATGAACCGTGCAGCTTGAGGGCGATGCTTGCCAGCATAGAACGATATTTGCGATTTAAGAACTATCCTCTGTCTTTGACAAGAGACTCTGCTTTTTCCAATATGAGAAATGTTTTGAAGTTAAAGCAGCAGACTCTGCGTTCTATTGGTAAAGGACAAAAAGCTCCCAGTGATATTTCCCCTTCATCGCTTGCAAGGGAGGGGAAGATTGCCCACCTTTTTAAATCTCAGGAGATGGGGCCATATACTCCAAGCTCTGTGGTTTTTACATTGTGCTTTTACTTTTGTATGTACTTAAGAATTCGCAAGTCAACGGAAAACAAGAAACTCTTATGGGGAGATATAATTTTATGTAAAGATGAAAGTGGTCGGGAATTTCTTACCTTTTCTAGTCAGATGCTCAGAAGATCCCAGAGCTCGTCAAAAGGAAACTCAAGACAACGAACCTATCGAGTCTGGGCAGACCCAAGTTGTCCTGAGAAAGATCCTGTTACCATTTACAAATTCTACGCACAAAAACGCCCAGCGTCTATGAACACAAACTTTGCCCCTTTTTATTTGGGTATTAATGTTCTGTATCCCACCCAAGGCCAGTTGTGGTATCGACCTGCAGCAATGGGAATAAACAAACTGAACGAAATGGTGAGACAAATTAGAGAAATCACAGGAATTCGGAACACAACTGAATTTAACAGTGAACCGAAATTGTCGGACAAACCAGGAACTGAAGTAAATGGGGGCACACAAGATGGTCAGAGTCCGTCAAATGAGTCTGCTGACCGACAGGATTCAGAGAGCGAAATCAAAACCGAAGTCTTGGATGAGATTGAAGAGGACGATGGGTCTTCAATGACAGCCATGGATTTCAGTCAAGAGCAGCAGGAGCATCCTCTGAATTTTAATCAGTCTTCGCATGCAGTTCCTCCACCTTCTCGTCAAACTCTGGCAGCACTTGGTAATATGGCTCAGGCTGTATACTCTGACGGGGAAAGCAATGACAGTTTTTCACATCAGTCATTTCCTGCTAAAACAAATGGGGACATCGGTGCTGATTCTAGGAATGACAGGGAATTTGAACATGAGATAGACCTCACTAAGATGAACAGCCCTGATTCACCGCTGAACTGCTCTACAAAAGATAGAAGCAGTTACACAGCGGAAACTGCAGGGCGACAGAACAGTTCTGGTGAGTGTGTTTAGATTAGATTTGATGAGTCTCCAAATCTTGTGAAGTTTATTGGATGTTGTACAGATACATAACTTGATAGAGTTACATGGAGAATGTGATTTTTGTATAAAATTTGAAAGAGTCAAATAGTATCATTGGGTGCTTGACCTGTTCTCACATACTGTTCATCCCTTTCACTTTTGTAGAGAGAGAGGAGAGTGATGAGCTTGTTTGTTTATTTACTCTTTTTTTACTTATAGTATTAAAATTGTTAATCTTCTATGGGCCTCTTAATTAATGTATGGATGCTTCACGACGTGGTGGAATCAGGCGCTTGTCAATTATTTTGGCATATTGAGTTATTGGTATCATCTTAAAGCTTTATTTTTCGATGAAAAAACAACCCAGCTGTCTTGAATAGACCTTTAGATTTGTGATTGATGGAGATGGGATCCCCTCAGTTCAGAAATAAAATTAGGGAGAAAATGGCCAACAAAGCTTGGTGACTTCCATAGCTTGAGAGTCCTTAGAAATTGTAAATTTAAATGTGTTGTGCCGTTATTCAACGATTTTGAGTAATTTCCATGTAATACAGAAATGTGTTTTTAAATGGATATTGTTGATCCCAAAAAATAGAAAATTCTTAAAAAACTGCCCGACGTCCCAAAAAATGCTGGTCTCTTAGATTTCATTGTTTTGACAAGCGCCTGATTTCACCACGCCATCTCTCATCTGTAGTATTGTATTGTGCAGTAAAACCCTAACAATGAACATAATGGAGAATTTCTTGGCTTGTCTCTGAGAGGAGGTTGGGGGGTGGGGGGCTAAGAGTCATTGCGGATGTTCTAGTGTGCTCTTGTAATCTTTGTCATTACGTTCGCTGTTTTGACTTCCAGGGGGTGGGGGTGGGGTACGTTGACCGAATTTCAGGACGTGTAAGCAAAATCGCAGTCAGGTTTTTTTTTGGTGTCAAATAAAGTGTTATAGAGGAGTGCTCTAGGGGAACATGACATCTTTCTAAAAGTGGGTGCACCTCTGATTTTGAGAGCTTAAATTGTAATATAAAATAATGTGTCACTTTGTGATGGTGCTGTTACAGGTGTAGTTTGTGTGTGTCCTCCGCTGTGTAGACCCTTCTTTCACCCCTTGAATTTTTGCTCCTCCCCCTCCTCGCATTCTCTCTCTCTCTCTCTCTCTCTCTCTCTCTCTCTCTCTCTCTCTCTCTCTCTCTCTCTCTCTCTCTCTCTCTCTCTCTGTCTCTCTCTCTCTCTCTCTCTCTCTCTGTCTCTCTCTCTCTCTCTCTCTCTCTCTCTATCCCCCTCTCTCTGTCTCTGTCTCTCTCTCTCTGTCTCTGTCTCTCTCTCTCTGTCTCTGTCTCTCTCTCTTCTCTTTCTCTCCTCTCTCTATCCCCCTCTCTTTTTATATAAATCTATCTCCATATCTCTCTCTGTCTCCCTCACTCATCTGTCTGTCCCCCTCTCTCTTTTCTCTCTTTTTTTTTATCTCTCTCTCACTCTCTTCCTCTCTCTCTCTCTCTCTCTCTCTCTCTCTCTCTCTCTCTGTCTGTCTCTCTGTCTCTCTCTCTCTCTCTCTCTCTCTCTGTCTCCCTCATTCATCTCTCTATCCCCCTCTCTCCTCTTTCTTTCCCCCTCTCTCGTGTCTCTATTTAAGTGGTGTAGTGACTAGCTTCTTACCCAGTTAGCTGAATATGGAAGACTCTTCATGAATTTAAAGTATTCTTGCTTCCCTTTTTTTTTTACCTGCTCCATTAAATTGTAAGTTGCTTCTGTTCTATAAATCTAAGTAAGATAAAATATATTATATTACAAATGAAATGTTGGAGATGATGTAGTATGCTGGAATGTACTACTTTAACTTAAATATCCTCCATTTTCTCAAGTGTGCTTCTATCATGGTGATGTACAGTTTTTGCTTTTGCTCACATTTGTCTGTCTTCGGTCAAACCCGTCTCAGTCACTTTCTTTCGAGATGCTATTGTTGCGGGTGCTGTGGTGTGGTTTGTTCCTCTTTCGTATCAAACATCTGTCATCCGTATCTCTGCTTCTTCTTTACTTTGTATCATGTAATGCTCAAGTAACACCTCTGATCTTCAGAATTTATATATGGCCTAATTCCTAATTGTGGGTGGTTGGTGGGTGTTATGGTGTGGTTTGCTCCTTCTTTTGTATCAAACATCAACCATTGTTAACTCTCCTCGTTTTTTATGTTTGTAATTAAACGCTCTCATGGCATCTCTCTTATCTTTGGCACTTATATGACCTAATTGTGTCGCAAGTGCCATAAAACTTTTGCTCAAACTTGAACTCAACTTGTGGTGTTGAAGAATCATCTCAATCTTTCTTCAGATGCCATTGGTGTAGAAGAAGCAAAGTTGCACCTGATGAACATAATGAGAAGGCTTGAGCCGGCAGACATCATTCAGTTCAATTCTTGGTTGAAGGGAGTTAAATTCAGCTCTGACCCATTCTCAGGTGAGTATTTTTAGTATTAAATGAAGGTTTGCATTTTTTAGATCTGTCTTATAATTTTCTTTTCTCTCTTTTACTCATATTTATTTGTGAAAGAATTATTTCAAGTTGTCATGTGATTTCGCATGACTTGTGAAAACAAGAACCCTATGTACCCTTTCAGATTAGTTTTGGATATCATTTTTCTTTTTCATAGTGTAAAGATGACACGAATGATATGGGAATGGTTGGTAGGTGCACTGGTCTGGTTTGCTCCTCCTTTCCTGTCAAACATCTATCATACTTATTCTCTCCTCCTTTTCTTTGTATGTTACTATATATAGTGACACCTCTAATTTTCAGCATCTACATTTAAATTACATTTCAATGACATAAAACCGGTACAAAAACTAAACCAAACATGCTAGTTGTGGGTGTTATTTCCTAGCTCATCATCATCATTGCCTTTCTCACCTTGCATCAGGGTATAGGCCACGGACAAAAACTTTCCACCATTTTCTATCCTGGGCTAGCATCTTGATGTTATTCAGTGTCTTCCCACTTTTCTGTACATCATTTTCTGTGATTCTTCTCCAGGTTCCAAGCGGTCCTCCCCTTGATCTTTTACCCTGTGGATTCTCATCCAACACTTTCTTTGTTTTGTAGCTGCCTGACTTTCTGAGAAAATGTCCAATCCATCGCCACTGCCTTCTTCCTCTACCTCATCTCTGACTGGGATTTGTCTTATTTTCCTTTTATTTAACACTTCCTCGTTAGTGATCCTGTTTGTCCATCTGATCCTCAATAACTTTCTTAGACACTTGTTCAAGTAAACCTGGATCCTCTTTATGCAAGTCTGTGATGCTTTCCATGTCTCACATCCGTACAACAGGACTGATTTCTCATTTTAATTGAAAATCCTCAGCTTTGTGAGATATCTCAGGTCTTCCAAATCCTATTCAAAGATATGAAAGCAGCCTGTGCTTTTCCAATGCGAGACTTTATTTCAGCACCTGTTCCTCCCTCTCTGTCAATTATACTCCCAAGATATTTCCTAGCTGAGTCTTCTGTATTTTCCTCAGCAGTCTTTTCTTTTTTTTCTTTGACCCGTGGACTCTTACTGTGTCCTTGTGCTTCCCTTCAATGAAATCTTCAGGTGGTTTTCTCTTGATGTACCTCTGCAGGTCAAGTTGTGTGCCAAGAAGGCGAGGATACAAAAGATTCAGTCACTGTCAAGACGAGCAGCTCCAACATCGGCAGCTTGGGAGCCAACATTATCCTGAACATCTCCCTGTCCCCCCAAGCCTTGCAGGGCGAGGGGCCCATCACCGTCACCGCCCAGACTTCCATTCCTCCAGAGCAGCAGCAGAGAAATAATTCCTCCTCTATCGGCAGCCTAAATGGGAGCAGTAGCAGCAGCAGCAGTGGGAAGGGAAACCCCCTCAACAACTCTTCCAGGCACGGGACCACAAGTGCTGCTTCCGCCTCGAAGAACCCCCTGCCCACGTTCCCGCACAACGCCACAGCCCCGACCGAGCAGCTTGTTTCCTCCGACAAACCCCTGGACCTGGTCACCAGTCCGGTGAGCCGGGCCGGGAAAGCGGCATCTTCATCCTCTTCATCCTCTTCCTCCTCCTCTTCGCAACAGCAGCAGGGAAAGATGAGCCGGCCTCACAGCGGCAGCAATGGAATTTTCCCGGCCATGAGCGGCTCGTCCTCTTCCCGCGGAGACTCTCCGCTGGCCAAAAGACTTCGCCTCTCGGCAGAGCAGGCCGAAGCGTACACCAGTGCTTCCATCATGGCCAGCCTCTCCTCTGCTAACTTCCTCAACGAGCGGCTTCGCTTCCAGCTGATGCAGGCTGGCCTACACATGGGGGACTACAACGTGGACCCGCACGCCTCCGCCGGCCTCATGGATCTGGCCAACTCAGAGGCGCTGCAGTCTCAGCTCTTGCAACACTATGGCATCAAATCAGAACCGAAATAAGGAAAAAACCAAAATTTTTAGCTGGTTGATCCGTAAAAGAATCTGCCAAGCGTGTTAAAAGAAGAAATATACTGGGTTGCATTTTTAACAATTTTGCTCCTGAATTATTAAGGACTCATTTCGATTTAGAGTTTCTTCATTTGTGATAATTTTAGTGTTAGATAAGGTTGTAATAATCAAAGTAAGTTGGAATCAAAAGATAAGACAGAACTCAACACTTGAGTCTCAGTCGAATAACATATCAAAATGGTTCTATAAAGATGTTAGACAATTGAGCATACCTCAATAGCACAATGATCTGAAATGGACACTGAGATAAATTTTGCACTACCCATGACAATGCCTGAAGAAGGCTGTGACTAGATGAAATGTTATTGCATCAAAAGTCTCTTAAAACATCATATCAGCTACCTCCACTTTATTCCTATTGCCTTTTATTTATTTATTATCCTAACAGACTCTTCTTTTTTATGTGATTGAAAATAATTATTGTTCTCATGATGCAGGGTTAAAGGACATATATAAATATATATATATATATATTAAATATATTGCATTTCGTTTTAATATAATTAATCTTCTCTTTATTGACACACTTTTTGTGTGACAAGAGATGGCTTCCATGCATACTTAACATTGTAAATGCTTGTGAGAATTGCAGAAAAATGTTTCCCCCTTCCCTTTTTTTTCGCAACTGGTCACAAACTTTTGTAGCTAGACAAGATTGATCAGCCAAACATGACCTCGCAAAATGATCTCTTAAATTTGTGATATATAATGTCTCTTTGTTTTTATGGAAAATTTCAGAAATTTTATAATAAGTTTTGTTGTTAATGCACGTCTTTGTTAGCACTTTGACATGGTGAGGTATATGATGAGACCATCGAAAATGATATAGAGTTATTACTTGGTGAAACGAGACTTTATTTTTTTCTAAGATTTTGGCCGTCTGCTTTGCATGTGAAGCACGGCTGTTGTTGACTGTCTTGATCACAATTCTGAATTACATGTTGCTGGTGCAGCAGCGGTATTTGATATTGGCAAGGTTCTGCAGGCCTCCTTTTACTGTAGGAATCATCATAAGTTAACATGTTCACATTATATTGATGATGCAGCAAAATCTCATAATTGTATATTTAATGCTACTCACAACTCAAAAGTGTTTTTGTAAATGTTCACCATTATTTACATACTGGTGGAGGGATTTAAGGAATGTTTTCTTCAACAGACAACGAAAGTATAATTATGACTTTAACAAAAAATGCTGTAAATCAAAATGCATTTTACAAGCTCATGTTAATCGCTATTTTGTGGAGAGAAAAAAAAATTGGATTGAATTTATATGAAACTGCTGTAAATATCTTTAAATTCAAATAGACGAAGTCTTGCTTTGTCTATGCTTGATATTTTTGGAAAGAGGGGGAAACATGTGCGAGATAGTCAAGGTCTTTGGACCAATGGTGACACACTGTCTTCAGTCTTTTCTATCTCTCTCTAGTCAGCGTGGCATTTTTTTAAATGAGACACGACTTTAACACAGCAAGTGCAATTTGTTGACTGTTTACAGGAAACTTGAGATTACATTAGCTGCTATTTTTCCCCAGGGACTTAGAGCACCGTTTATGAAGTGAACTATTGTTCTTGTGACCCATACTGTGACAGTGTTGTTTGGTTCTTCATTTCACATAAGTGAATGAGGACCGTAGTTGTACATGAAGGCATGATTCGTTAAAGATTCTCTCTGCAATTTGGTAGGTATGATAAGTTTCCCTGAATTCAGTAGATTGCAAAGTTTTATAAGATTGTGATGAGTGTGCTGACAGTGATTTGTGTGTAGCGGACCATGTCGGAGCTGTGAAATGTTGTATTTTACGAGTGGAAGTAAGTGCTACAGTGAGGAAGGATTATTAGATAAAAACACTGAATTATGCGGTGCAAAGGGTACACATTTCAAAGGAGGTTCTGGACTGTTGCTGAAGGATGAAGAGCTTAAAATGGAGGGTTTGGATAGTCGGATCATCACAATATTTAATGAAAGAAAAAAACAAGATTTGTATTGCCTTCATAACTTGCAGATTCGCTTAATTTATGCCTTTGCCATCATAGCATTGGATTTGTAATGGTTTGGATCTTGTAATTTAAAAAAAAGTTTTATTTAGTTGTAGAGAAATGTAATGGAATCTATTTGTCTTTCTGCTGGGATGTTCTGTCTCCCTAAACGCGGGTAGTCTCTGATAGACAAGGGGGAGCAGCCTGCCTTGAAAATGGTCGATCTTGCAGTCTTTGCTGCAAGCATAATCAGTTCTCAGTCATATTAATTTAACAGCAGCTTGAAATGTTCAGGGATCTAAAAAAGTAAGTTACTAATTCTTCGGGAAAATTTTGACTTCAGTGTAAGACTTGACATAACTTCGCATTTCATATATTAATTGAAAGGATGATAATTGCTGATATTGATTTGTGACACATTGATGGAGACATTTTCTGGAAACATTTGTAGATCCTTCATTTGTGAAGCATTAATAGAAAGTTAAATGGAATGTGATTTTGTGCCACTCATTTTAATGTTGCGTTTCCCAGATTTTTGGATTGATCTCATTTCAAGTTTCCAGTAACAAGGTTTTGAAATTAGGTAGTTATATCCCTCTTGTCATAGGAATGGTTTAAAAGTTGTTGTTTTTTTTAGCATCAAAAAGACAGTCAGACCTTATGACTACTGTTTTAATTATTGGGTCCGCTTAGCAAATTTGTGAGTGTTCTGATACAATAAGCTCAGAGGGATGTCGAGGCAACAGATCCAGGGCCTTCTTGAACTTCTGTTGGACAGTACTGTGTCTGTCTATGTATATGTTGCTATTCCTGACTGACATTCGCAATCTCATATCTTCCTCTTTTGCTTTTTTTTTTTTGGTTTCCACTGTACATTTTTTGTGCACAGTTAAATTATGTTTGTGTATGTACATTTTATGTTGAATCTTCATAAATGTCATGTGATATTTAACTGGGTTTTTTTTTTTTTTATTTTTTTTTTTTTAACTGCTTACACCTTATGCACAGGTGATTCACTATGCTCTTGTCAGCACAAAAGAATCATCTACAACTCTATGATCTTTATCTTTTATAAGGGTTCAATGGGTTTTGTTTTCTAAGTTGTTAATTTTTCTTTTTTTTGTTCTTTCTTTTGTTTTGTTGTTGTTTTCAGCTGGACTCTGTTCTATGCATATTTTAAAAACATTTTTTGCCTTTTTTCTCTCCCCTTGATTCCCTGTCATTTTCTAAGAAATTGTCTCAAGTTTGCTTCTATTTTCTTCATGTTTTCTATCAAGAGTATTACACACAAAAAATAAAAAAAATAAAAAAATAACTCTGAACATGCACAAAGAAAAGAAAAAGAAAGAAACTGCCGTTCGTGAATCAAAAGTTCAAAAACTCAAACTCAACGTGTGAATGTAATATTTCATTTACTTTAGAAAGATTGTCATAGGAATTTATATTTTATTATTTTTATTTTTATGATGGCAATCTTGATAGGAGGCTAAATGTCTTTTCAGACTAATCCAAACTGTTCTAAGAAAAAGTTAAGGGGGCGGGGAGGAAAAAAGTGTGGAAAACTTGTCTGTTTAGTGTTATCATTCCACTATGATGGCTAGATACTAATGTTTTTTTTAGTGCTGAGTGTTTACAATTTACTTCTTCCAAGGATTATGATCAGGGATGTTTTTCACCTGCCTTGACCTCGTGGTATAGCCCCCCCCCCCCACTGCTGTGGTGTATACGGTACTTATAGTTAATTTGAGGTTTTGAAACCAAAATGAGTCTGACCTGTCCTCTTAGCTCCTAACAACAGATTGCCGTTTGGCTTTCTGTCGTGATGGGATGTGGAGTTTTCCTTCCTCCGAAGTAGCCTCTTGTGTGTCCAGTAGGGCATTGAATTATTTACACGCTCATCATATGACCTTTTATGCAGTTGCGAGCGTTGTAAAACACTTACCAAAGCATTGAATTATTGCTGAAGAAAAACCCGTTAAACTTGAAAAAATAGCTACCTTTAGTACCAATTACTAGGACAATTACAAGCCATTGTCAAAGCCTTGTTAGTTGTTAATGATATTTAGCTGATGAGGTCCTCATCCTGACCTCTTGGAGTAGCCCTCAGTCTATCCCAGTCATGTTTTACTTGCAAAAGTTACTCTTTGGAAAAGATTATACAGAGAAAACAAGTCCTGGTTAGAGGTTTCCTTGATCTCTGTCTTGGGCTTTTAGGTTAACTAGGATCCGTCACCACAGTTTGTCTCAAGTGGGAAGATTTTTAGGACTATGTTGTTAATAGCCCAACAGAAATTGTATCCGTTTCGAAAAGTGATTGCTGTGTAAGTTCAAAACGGGTCAGCACCGTTTCGTTTCAGTCACGTGCACACATCAGAGATGCTGTGATATGTTCGTCTGGGCCAGTGATAGATGTCGCGTGAAGAAAAGAAAAGTGAATAGACAGTAGGATTGAGTTTGTTTGTGTTTTGCTCTTTTGATTACTAACAAGCAGCGCTCCTGAGGTATCGGCTCCCGAGACTGCTTCCCACTTTCCCAGTTTGTGGATTCTTGCCTATGATGACATGCTTTTTTTTTTTTGCTTTTATTTTTTAATCTACGTTCGTATTTATTTATTTTTATCTCATTTGCATTTGCTTGTTTGCAATATGATGATGAATCTGCACATTTTATGTTGATTGCCATTAGAAGATGAGGATATATATGTGTTTTGTCAGATCTGTACATTAATTACTAATTTACTCATGTGTTAAATGTTGTGCTTTCTGTCTGAGGTGAATGACGTACAAGCTTGCCAAGTTTTTATTCTTTTTTAGCCGTGTTTTGGAGCTGCGGTACTCCAGACCTGCCAAGTACTCGGATAAAATTGGAGCCCCCCCCCTTTTTTTTGTTGGTTTATTGAAGAACCTCAATTGGATTTGCATAAAATCAGATTATTTTTTCTGACTTGCGTTTCCATCAGTCACCTACAACACTTGAAAATACACAGGTTTATTTGAGACATACTTGCTCAACTTATCGTAAATGATGAAGGGGAAAAAACCCAAACCCCAACACATTTTTATTTGCATGTAATTGCAATACAGGTTTGTGTGCCAGGGTTGGTTCATTATAACCTAGTTTTAATCTACTGGGGTTCTGGAGACTTCCAGATGTTTTGGAGGATTCTGAGGCAAGCTCCTATTTTTGGTCATGGAGTGGTTGGCAGGTCTGGTACTCTCCCCGATTTTTTAAATTTACGAGTCGTGGCGCGGCTAGATCCGGTGAGGACTGCAGATTATTTCGACTGGAAGGAGAAAGGACACTTTTTGGTGTGGGGGATTTTTTAAAATGTACTTTTATGGTAGGCTTGTCTGAATAATCCGACTGCATAATATGCAAGTAGACCATAATGCTTTAAAGGGGATGGCCTGGTTTTTCTTGATGGGGAAAAAATCAGTGCTTTTTTAAGCTTGTAAAAGATTAGGTTTATTTTTTTAAAATTGTGAACGGATTCGTTCACTGTGCGTCTTTGCCACTGGGCGGGTGGCAATATTGTGAGTTTTCACATAAAGGAGAGTTAGTAGCTGGGTGAGAAGGGTACCAGACTGGCGATGAGAAAGCTTTGGCCTTGACCCTTGTTGAATCGGAGGCAGATGTGGAAAACTTTGGAAAGATGTTTGGACAGAGAAGCAGCAGCCTCTCTAAGAGACATATCTTGTACGGTCATCTCTTTCTACATGACCCAAGGGAAGCCAGCGCTCCTCTCTGGTTCTATGGGTATTATGAGGACTCTCCTTTTTTTTCCCTTCCTGTTTAAGTAATAGAAAGTCAACATGTTGAATTGAATTACCCAGCATGTTTCGTGCTCAGGGCATAGCAGTCAAGCAGTTTAAAAGTTATAGGATTTGAATATTTGTCTCAAAGTTTTTATGTGAAACTGTTACTCTTGTCTTTTAAACTTTTCAAAGAATGAAAAGTATGATTGTTTTTTCGTTTGTTTTTTTTTCCAGTTTTTTTTCTTTTTGTGTGTGTGTGTGTGTGTATACATTACTTTGGTTGACTGAGTGTATAGTTTTAATGTTTTACTCATATGTGGTGGAGGACACTAGTCATGATTCTCAAGAACTTATTTACACTTTGCTGGATTTACTTCTGCAACACCGTGTACATTCTCTCTACTCTTCTGTACTTTTGCACATTTCCCCCCTGATGATGATATATATTCATATTTTGTTTTGTTTTCCAATCTCATTAAGATCTGTTATTATTTGTTTTGGGTTTTTTTTCCTTGTATCTGTGACTACTACTAGTGAATAGTTTGACAGAGCAAGCAACATGACATTCCTTCGGCCCCCACTCGAAAAACTTTGTTTTTTTCCTAAAGGTCACAGATATCCTTGTGATTGATACACAATAGGACTTGGGTATAGCTTAATTTTATTTGGGTCCTGATGAGAGACGCTGGTGTTTAAGGGTGCTGTCAAGAGAACCTTACAAACAGAGCTTCCTATGTTCTAGGCCTGTTTCATGAAACTATTGTAGAATTTAATACAGTTTTCTCTGAAATGTATTTGTATTTGAAGATTTGAAGGGACATATTCTTCTCCCAAGCATCAACTTCAGTTGACCTCAGCATGACCACTTGCTGGCACATTCATTCATGTTAAACCCCCCGGTGAAGGGTAGCGGGGAAAGAAAAAAGTTGAATGTTATGAATGTAGCTCTGTGCCAATGTTAGCAACTGCTCCCATAGCTCTGCGCTATTGATGAAACAAACAATTATGCAAGGTTCCCCCCTCCCCCCCCATGTTTGTTTATTTTTTCATAGCTGCCAACCAATAGGTAGAAAACATTTAATAATGATATGTTAGCAAGAGTCTGAGTTATGGAAGTCCGTTTTCATATCGGAAAATAGTATTTTGTTTTCTAATAATGCTTCTCATGGACTTGCCAATGCTAAGGAAAAATTATACCTTGCAAGACAAGACTTGCAAATAATTTTGAGAACGAAGCCAACAGATCTGTTGAAGTTGTGTCCATTACCATAGTTAACTGTTGAGCATGGATTTATTGACGGCAAAAATGTGTGTGAAGGGGTTGTTTTTTTTTGGGGGGGTGGGGAAGGGTACTGGGCCAATGCCTACCATCTTGGTCTGCTGTATGATGGGCAGTGCGTAGGTTTTTTTTTTAGGTTTTGAAAAGTTGGCAGCTGTGCGTTTTCTTGACAGTGGAGTTGGGGTTAGGACATTGATTGGCTATGTTCAATGATGCCATCATTTTCTGAGCTGTAAGATCTGACAAGAGCTTGTCTGTTGTCGGCTGTGTTGACCTGAGGTTCAGCGGGGGAGAATACTGGCTTCACACTCTCCTAAGCATCCGTGTTGCAATGCAAAATTGCGCTCTATGAAGAAAACATTACTAGTTTAAATACTAGCACCTATCCCCTAGAAATTGCTACGAGCTTTATTGTTATAAAAAAGGCATTACAGATTTTAGTCGGCGTATCCGAGAGTTCACGTGGTAGCCAGCGGCAGCGGAAAATGAAGGTTCTTCTTAGGAAGGGGATAGGTTTGCCCCCTTTATGACTCACTGGAGTTCAGGACGATCGGACTAGGGGTTAATGTAAACAATTATCCTCCAGAAATACTTGAAATAAGGAGTCTCTAATCTTCTGCTAACAAAACTTCAAATTTTTCACAATATCTAGAGCACTGGAGAAGAAAATACAAATAAAGGAAAAGGGACCAACATCTCACTATGCGCGTCCGTGGATGAGCAGACGTCATCCCTTCTCTAGGAATGGGGGTGAGGGATGGAATTTTTTTTTTTTTTAAATGTTTGGGAAGGAGGGGAGAGGACGGGGGAGGAGAAGAGGGGAATGGAGTTAACAGGGTTGTAATGTAGTTTGTCACACCTCTGAGGTATTCATGTTTGGCAGTTGAGTAAGCGTTCTCTGCTGACGCTGACCCGCATTTATTGTGTCCATTTTCTCGAGTTGTCTAGAATTAGGCATAGGAGTATAACAAAATGAGACAGATGGTGGCCAAACTTGACGGTCGGTGAATAGTTCATGAATGTCTGCTTTATCATTCTATTTATTCTGTATTGTATGTTAGTAAGGTCACAGCCTATCTTACAGATGTTTTTGTTTGTTGGTTTTTTTTTCTGGGTTTTTTTTTCCTTCTTCCAAACCGTACATGCTGTATAACAGGATTGTCTATATCCTCCAAATGCATTTTTTTTAAAAAACCGTTTTCTCAGGAAAAATTTTCCAAGATAAAAGAAATGCATTTTCTACCTCTGATTTTTTTCTCTCACACAAAGCATTTACCTTGGTCGTAAACCGTTATCATCAGCTCTCATAATTGTTATTCGTATTATTGTTCGTCTTTTTCTCACTCTCTGGGCCGGGTCGTGTCGGTACCGTGACAAATGTCGAGTGAGCGTGCGAGCGGCTCCCAAAGCTTGTCTGATGTCAGTTGTCACTTGCCGCTCCTCCTATGATGCAGTTTGACGGCCTTGTTGTACCGGTCCCCATTTCTTTTGGTGTTTTTCATGGGGTTCTTCTTGTTCTTGTACTTGTTCTTTTTTTAATTTTCGGCTTGTTGCAACAGGTTGCTTATTTATCAATTATTTTCCTCAATGATCCGTCTCCGGATTCTTAAAAAAAAAAAATTTTGTTTCTGTTTTTGTTTTGTATGTATCAGAATTGATTGTATTTAATTTATTACTGTTTTAACATATCCGTTGATGGTGTTGGGGTTAATTTATGATTAATACACATAATCAAAAGTTATAATTACTCACATTTGAACGTACTATTATACGAATGTAACAACTGCTGTACAAGCATCTCTCGTGACTGACCTGTTCCGATTCAAGCTTTTTTTTTTTCTTCATTTTTTTGCTCACTACACAGCGACAGTTTTACCATTTTGTCAGTTGTGGTTAAGTAGTGTTCGCAGGGTAGGGGTGGCTGGTGTTTAACTTGGCAATTGAAATCAGGGGGAGCATCCAAGTTACTGTTAGTAAAGTTAATTTGATGGAAAACTCATTGGCACTTACAACTTACAGTCATGGGCGCGTTTTTTCGATGTGATAAACTCCTAAAATGAAAGCTGTGGTTTTTCTGTGAAAACTTTAGTCCATATGTTGGCTGTTCTGGTGAAAAAAGGTGGGGGGGGGGTTTTCCGCAAAGCTAATGGTTGAGGCAAAAATACTGTTTCGTTCTTTTCTCGAACAGTAGTATACAGGGATTTTTGTTTATTGGGTGACATTTAGAGAATTTTGCATCAAGATGAAATTTTCGCACCTTTTTTTTTTCTTTTGTTCCGGTTGGAGGGAAGAGCCCTGTCGTAGCTTATGATAGTTGATGAGTCTCTTTCATGTTCACACCCAGAGCTTCTTTCATTTTTCTCTCGGAGCTATCGTATAATATCTTGTCAGAAGGGGACATGAGCTAGTACAGGGAGTATTTGTAGATGTGAACTCTGAAGAGGGAAACTTTGAGGGTACTTTTTTCTCAGTGAAATAAAGTAGAACAGTTTTTAAAGCTGTGAAAGTATTTTTTTTTCGAATTTAAGCCTTTTGTGTGTGTCTGTGTTAGTGTTAAGAGAGAAGGTACTGTTTTCTGTCTATGATATTCATATATGATGGGTACATGATCAGCTGAAGAAAGCTTATCAGGAAAACTTGCACATAAGATGTCTATTGTTAGATCTATTGTTCAATTACTGTTACCGTTTCTTTTCGTCTTATCTTGCTTGATAAAGCTTCAATTTGGTCAGGGCAGTCACGATAACCTATACAAAATGGCCTTTGATTTTTATTTTTTATTTTATTTTGAAGAGTGCACTTTGTTGTCAAAGGCTGACCGTCGGTCTAAGTTATATTGCACAAAAATGCTGAAGAGTGTCAGAAAGCTGCACAAAGCAGCATTTCCCCTGTGGGGATTCGAGGTAAACTGTGTTGGCCGGGTTCACATTTTTTAGAAACTCTCGCTGGCTGTCTGGCTCTTTCAGTCGTGAACAGCATCACATCCTTCCTTCCACTTTGTCTCTACTGTCTAGAGGACAGGTAGTACCGGTAGGTAGCGTTTATTTGAACAGATTTTTTCCACCGTTAAAACGGACTGTAGTTTATTCTTTGTTTTTGTGAGTCTGCTGGTGAGTAAAACGTTTAACCTTATCCGTACGCCCTGGGGTCATTTTGTGCCGCCGAGGTTGTATTCTTCACATTTTAGAATACTTTTAGTACGAAGATCTCATTGAAACTTTCAGTATTTCTCAAAAAATTATTTTGACAGACTGCTATGCAAAGCGTACGGATTCCCTGTAAGGACTTCTCTGTTGACACCCACCCCTTGGCGCTCATATGACCTTATGCAGTTGCAAGCGCCGTAAAACCTACTTTAAAAAAAAAAAAAAAAGCGTACGGATCGGATTAAATAGTAAATTTCCTCTTTGGAAAGTGGTGGCACAGAGTTCCCCACGTCGTATGGGTACGATAGTGAAACACGACGTAGGATAGGGTTAAATACGTATTGGGGTACAAGAGGGTCATATTGAGGCGAGGAGTATTAAAAGTCCTGAGTAAGGAGTTGTCTTTTTGTTTTTAAGTCGAGTTACTTTTGATCTTCTTTTGTACAGGGTGTATGAGAAAACTATTTCTCTCGTTTATAATATATAAACCAAGGCAGCTTTTTTTCATGTTCTCTTCTATAGCAAACAATCGGGTAAAGTGGAAACTTCCATATGTCTGAGCCATGTCGGTTCTTTTGCATAACTTTCTCTTCGTGGTTGTCTTTATTACGCTCTTTTTAATCTTTACTGACTGTTCAGTGTAAGACCCCACCGTACACCATTTTGAAATGTGACGTATGTCGGAGTCTCGCACTGAGGGAGCAGTGGATATATATATATATATGAAGACTACAGGGGGGAAAATGACGGCAGTCACAAACTGAAAATCGTGAGGGTACCAATTTTGAAGCCTTGTTGACTCCTAACTGTATTTATGTTCAACTGTTGGTTGATTATTGTTGTTAGATTTCTCATTCACCAACACTTAATAATAAACCACTAGTCAAACAAATTTGAAGTTATGAGTCCACAAGCTTTTAAAATTGGCACCCTCACAATTTCCAGTTTGTGACTACATTGGTTTTTTCCCGTGTGCTCTTCATATGTATTGATGGACGAGTGGAAATGTGGGCATGTCCAGACACCTGCTAGTGTGGCAGGCGGACACGTTTGCCTCATTCACACATGACCGAGTGTGATTGTGGCCACGTCTCACGTGGCAGGTGGGTGGTAGGATTGTTTGTAGCAGTCTCACCAGGGATGGAAAAAGTCGCCAACACTTCAGGAGATGAATGGGGGGGGGGGGGGTTGTTTGTTTTTTATGTAGTCTGGGGAAATTGTCTTGGAGCTAAAAAGGCGGAGGGAAGAAGAAGAAAAAAACCGTCTTTGACCTCAATAAAAATTTGTCTGTGAACTCATGACAATAGTGTGATTTTTCACACCTGAGGTGTTAATTCAAGTGAAAGATTTTGTCTCCACGTCACCGAGTTACAAGCTGTCACACTAGTGATGTCTCCAATTCCCTTAATTCAGACCCCTCTTGTTCCTCTATTCCTAACAATGATCC